AAGCGACTACAAACTACAAGAAGACGTTAGCCTCAGTTAACTTCTTTCTCGGCTTGTAGACTACAAACTACACCGGTCTCCTAAGCCTCAGTAAACGGGGTGGCGCTTTTACTGAGACTAAGCGACTACAAACTACAAAACGCTTCTAAGCCTTAGTAAAAACTTCAAATCGCTGTATCTCGGCTCATTCTCAACCGATTTTTATGATTTTTGGCCCAAAAAATCTAATTTTAGATGAGCTACAGTAATCCCAAAAAATGATCAGGATTATTTCAGAATTTCCAAAACGCGCTCTATTGAGAAAACTAATTTTCTCACGAAATTTGTTTTTTTTTCTCATTAAGGTGTCGAGAAATATCCAATTTTCTTGTCCTTCCTCTCTTCTTCTTACTTTGACATATGTCCCATTTTCTTATTTTCCTTCTTCTTCTTCTTCTTTTTTTCCCCTTTTTTTCCCTTTTTTTTCTTCAAATAATTATCCAGGAGAGCAGAGCCTTCTAGAAAAAATTGCTCTCTTTTTTCTCCTTTTCTGACCATGTTTCTTTATTTTTCGTGACTTTTGAGATGCTTTTTTAGGAGCAAAAAAGGACCAAAAGCTACAAAAAATTTGGGATACTGTAGTTTTGGAATTTACTGAATTAGAGAATATTTAGTTGGAATACTTTAACTACACAGGTAAAATGCGAACGGATTCGTTTCGGTGTCCACTAGGTTTTCTATCCGTAACGGGTCCGTTACGGGCAGTTTCGCTAATCTGAGTTCGCGAACGGATCCGTTTTTTCATCATTCGCAATCGGACAGGATACGGATGCAGCTGGAGGTCGAGAGATAGCTCCCATGCCCAGTCGCGAACGGATCCGTTCCGGATGGCCGAGTTGTGAGGGACTAGCTTTCTCTTAACTCTTCCATCATATTTTTGCATCTTTTTTTTGTATTTTTAATCTATTTTTGCCGTTTTTTTCCAACTTTTCTCGGCAATTGTGCCGATTTCTGTCTATCAAAATTTTCGCAAGGCGATTCTACGATGAAAAAAGGTTTGTAACACAAAAGGTAATTCTTCGAAACATAGGGTTTGTTATAGGTATCACTTAACCTCCGTGAGCAAAAGGAACAAAAAATATTGTTTTGATGCTCACTTTTGCAGAAAGCAAGTTGCTAGCTTAAGGTAAGTGCAAACCACATTAGTTTTCGAAATAGGGACTTTTCAAACTTTCAGCGATGGACATCTACTAAACATCTAACGACTAAAACGTTGGAAATGAGACAATTTTCAAAACTCGGAAAACAAAAAATATAACTAATAGGTAAACAGTATGCTGCATTTTCGGAAAATTTCCCAATTTTTTTTCAGATTGCTCTGGTTCCGGTTGGTCGTTCAACAAAAAAAAAAGGATTTTCATAGTTTCTCGAACTTTCTTGTACGTTTGATTGTTGTTTCTTATATGTTTTCTTAATAAAGTTTCGAATACTAAGTCTACAACTATCATGAAAACTCAGCAAAAATTAAGAGAAACTGAAAAAAGGAGCGGCGGGGGTTTTCAAATAATGAGTCGGAAACGGATCCGTTATGGATTCGCGTACGGTCCGTATACGATTCCTATTTCATCCGCGCGCGAATGGCGGAGAATCCGTAACGGAATGTTCGCGAATCAACTGTGTAATTTGTGAAAAAAAAGCCTAATTTAATTGGAAAGTATACTTTAAAATCGAATTTTCGATTTTTTTTTTTTTGAAAATTGGGGTACTGTAGTTATTGAGATTAGCCTTCAGAAAAAGAATTTTGAGATCGAATAGTCGGGAAAATTGAATTTTTTCGAATTTTCTGGAAAATTTTATGCTAGAAATTTTGAAAATAAATTTTTAAAAATTTATAAAAGTTGAACTTTTTGAAATTCTGGAATTTCAGAATTTCATTAAATTTCTGGTTTCGGGTAAATTCCCTAAATCTAAAATTATTGAAATTTGAAGATCTGAAATTATGAAATCTAAAATATCAAAAAGTTTTAATTTCCAATTGTTGATATTTTCCAATTTTTTAGGATTTTTTAGGAAATTAAACATTTTATAAATTTAAATTTTTAAAAAAATTTTTATTCAATTTTTTTTCTGAAACTTCTGAAAATCTAAAGCTACTTATTTCTTTAAAAATCCTCTTTTTTAATCCAAAATTGTTGTGAAAATTTTAAAAATTTCAAAATAATTTGATCTATTTCAATTTGTTCATTTTCTTATTGATTCACATCTTCACATATCTTCAGAATTCCCACGTCTTCTGCTTCTGATCTTCGTTCTTTTTTTTCAATTTTCCTTTTTCATTTTTCAAATTCATTCAGTTTTCTCTCCAGAAGATGAGTTTCCATCGTCGTCGTCAACTACCAGCATCTCCAGATGACATTGAGCAGGGCAATGTCATGTACACTCCGATGACTCCACAAATCATGCGACGGTGTCATCCACATCTTCAGGAAGTGCGAAGTTTCGATCCAATGCTCGTTTCACAGCTCAGGTACGATTTTAAGATTTCCGAAACTTGTACTTCTTTTCATCAAATTTCTGGAAATCCAGAATTTTCTAGAATTTTAAGGTAGTTGAGGATTTTCAGGGTTTTCTTTAAAAAATTCTAAAGAATTAGTTCAGGTTCAAGGATTTCCAGTAATTTTAAGCATTCTGAAAATGATTCTCAAGTTAAACTGTTTTTTGAGAATTTGTGGACGTTTCGATTTCTTGCACTCTTTTCTATATCCTAAATTTTTCACTTGTATTATTCTGAAAATTCAGAGTATTTCAGAATTATTCTTATTGTCTTTTTTGTCTCTTTTCTTATTTTCCATTATCCATATTGAAAATTTGAAATTCTGAGCATTCTGAACATTATTCTAACTAACTATACACTTTTTTTTCAAAAATTTGTAATTGCGAATGCTTCTATTTTTTAGATTTTTAAGTCAAACTCAGGGGTTTTTTAGAACTTTCAATTTTTAACTTCAAAAACTACCGTAATTCCTCTAATAGAAGCCCACTCAAATCGTCAACTTTGAGCTCAATTATCTCGGTTCCTGTGAAAGATACCAAGAAATTTTCAGCTGATGAAATGTTTATCATGATATCAGTAACATTTTATCAATTGACACATTTCTGATATCATTTACAGGAGCAGAGATACATTAGTTCAAAATAATCGGACCTCTCGAGAGGTTGTTCCCTTTACTTGCCGCTTTAATCCTACTTATCTCGTTTCCTGTGAAATATACCGAAAAGTTGTCAACTGATAAAATGTTTATCATGATATTCCAAACATTATATCAGTTGACAAATTTCTGGTATCGTTAACAGAAATCGAGAAAATCGAGCTCAAAATTGACGGTTTGGGTAGGCGTCTTTTAGAGGAATTACGGTAATTTTCAAAAAATCTAAAATGCTGAAAATTGCTTATTATTCTCCAAATTTAAAATTGCTTTCAAGATTTTTAAAAACCAAGCTTAACATGTGCGCATACCGTAAACACTCTAATAGAACGTCACTTGAACCGTCCACTCTGAGCATATATATCTCATTTCTTTTGAAAGATATCAAAAAGTGGTCTACTAGTAAAATGTTTATCATAATATAAGCTACATTTTATCAGTTAATCACTTTGAGTCCCCCTTTAAGCTTAAAGTTGACTAAAATTCCCAATTTTTCCAATTTTTCCAACTAGCTATACACCACCACATCCTCCTGCAAATCCCCATAAAATGTTTTTTAATTGCTCATCATAAAAAAGTTGTCACCTGTCCCAATCCCCTAATTATATAGTATTACTACACTCCAATAACCACCCACTAAAAATTTCGAAAAATAAAAAAATTGTTTCTAAAAAAATCTTCAAAAGAAGCCGATTTTTCTGTAGTAGATCTTCATTTTTTCGTTCTATTTTTCAAAAAGTTCCCTCCGGTGGTGTCCCTTTTCACGTTACTATTACACTCTGAGCAATTAGGCTCCGCCCACTTTTCGTCGGAGCACGAAAAGTATCCGTCCCCCCACACACAGCTGATGACCACTCGGGTTCTACTAGGTTCTCATTTTCTCTGCGTCTCTCCTGATCTTTTGATATCTCGCCCTTTTTGTATTATCATGTATCACTGACCCGAAGGGTCCCTGGAGTGATCAGAAACCCATTGTAGCTCTGTAGTTTGTAGTTTCATTTATTCAAATTTTTATGTTTTACAATATTTTTAAAAATATAGAAGATTTCTGAATTTTTGGCCCAAAAATCATAAAAATCGTATGAAAATGAGCCAAGATACAGCGATTTGAAGTTTTTACTGAGGCTAACGCATTCTTGTAGTTT